CCTCTTCTGTAAAATGGGATATGTTAGTAGCATCTGCCTTATAGGGACGAAGCCATGCCATTGAGTAAGTAAAAATTGTAAATAGCAAAGCCCCTGTAGAGTGCTTGACAGAGTAAGAACTCGATAAAGGTGAATGATTGCTGTCATTATTAACCACAAAGGGCTCGCTAAGGAATTTTCTTCCAGGAAAGATCATTTCCTAGAGGGAGATGAGATGAAATCACTATCGTAAGTGATATTTCTATGGGGTTTACTATTATTAAAATCTGGAGGTACAGGGTGGCCAAATTGGTTGTGGGATATAAGGGTCAGGGTTTTGGGGGCATGAAACCGTGAAAGGGATCATCCAGTTTGCAGCAGATGTCAGAGTGCTGGGAACATTTTGAGGACTGTTCATATCACGGTGAGACCAGGACAATCTGAATGTAAGGTAGGCTGATGACCCGTCCCGCCCCTCTCGGTCTGCTGTTATACTCACTCACAGTTGCCCTCGGATGCACGTGCTCTCGGGGTCATCAGGAGCTGGTGTCTATTTGACAGCACCTGGTGGAGCCTCATGAACCAGTCTGTGCATGGGAGGTGGCTCCCTTCTTTTCCCTTAACTGTGATGGGTTTGTGGAGTGCCTGCCTCCTGTCTGGTGGGCTAGCCTAGGGGAGCTTCTGGTTCTCCTAAGGCTCCTTATCGTCTGCCCATGGGGACCTCCTGCCTGCTCTTGCCCAGAAGTTTACATGATGGACTGATGGATTTATTCTTACTTCTCTCACGTGATCAGGATGCTCTTAGACGGGCCCTATGGACAGCAATAGGCGCCATTGAGTTGGTCCCGGCTCATAGTGAATCTGTGCACAGTGGAACGGAATGCTGCTCAGACCTGCACTATCCAGACAATTGTTGTGGTGTTGTAGCCACTGCATCCATCCATCTTGTGGAAGGTCTTCCTCTTTTTCACCCACCTACTTGACCAAACATCATGCCCTTCACTTCTCTACCTCTGCCTCTGTAGTTTACTCGAGCTTTCTGAACCCTTGTCTATTTTGCCCCTAGCATGTTTCAAGGCACCTGTTGTATGCGCATGTCCATGTATGTCCGTGTGTGTGTGTGTGTGTGTGTGTGTCCCTCTTAATCTTTACTCTTGCCCATTCCATATTCAATTGCACTCACCAAACCTAAACTGGGTCCCTAAGCTTAGGCCATAGGTGCATCCCAAATGCATCCTTTCTAGGTTCAGCTCTTTGGTTCTCTATTTTGTGGGAGCTTTGCTCCTCCTGTGATAGCCATAGATTTATTTGAAGAGATGAGATATGATTCCAACTATGCCTTCAGAGTGTAGCCCAATAACTCTTGAGCTACAGAACTTATTAGCCCTAAGTTCACACAATGAAGCTATTACCATCTCCCTGGAGTTAGATTTTCCCATCATTTAGAAAGAGAAAAAATAGAACAGCAGGTCCCGTGGGAATTGTGTTAGTGTGAAGACAGCCTGCTTCTGCTGTTCGGATGTTCATCCCGCGGAGGATTCCTTTCCTCTTTCCCTTTGATCACCCTGGCCTCTTAGATAGCGGACTGTGGGAGTGCCGCGTTGCTTTAGGAGGATCCCACAGCTTCAGGGTTGGAAAATAATTGTTCCAGATTGCAAGCTGCTGGGGAGCCAAATTTGGAAGTTAGATTGGAGATAGCCTGAACTTTTCAACACCTTTGCTCTATTCGGTTTTATTGCCTGTGCACCACATCAGAGCTAAATTAGACTAGCTAATTCACTTAAAACTTAGTTTTGAACGACAATGAGATTCACTTTGAAGACTTTTAGGCTGCTCCTTAATAGAGTCCTGCCTACTCTGCGGTTGTGAGTGAAAGATCTCAGAGTTAATGAAGAGTTGTAGACAATTCCTTAGGGGCTCCCTTCTTCCAAAGAAGCTGAAAACGGCCTGCCTTTCTCTCTGTGGGAAGGGAAGCCCTGTGCTAGCTGTTGTCCTCTGGATCAATAAATGCATCACGTTATGTCAGCAAGGGGCTCATTTTTTTCTTATGCGGTGGGGTCAGAAGGACTGTCCAGGGCATTTTTGTTCCATAGCAAGAAGTGTTAGGAGACTTTCTGTTGCTGGTACCACATGAATCACCCCCATGTTCTGGAGCCAGATGGCCCTGGGCTTGTCACAAATGCATTTTCTTGTATCCCGTGGCATTTCTTCAGTTACAAATCCCAGAGGAACATCGCTAAGCTCTTGGAAAGCCCACCATCCGTGCTGGTGCTCTTTGAGCTTCTGGTCAGCAGTGACAGTGGGTCTTGACTGTCGTCAAGAAGGGCAGGTTTCACTCTCTTTTCTGATGGCCAGCTCATTGCTGTTGAGTGGTCAGTACGTCAGAGCAACGCCACGTGTCGAATCCAACTGTGCTCCTTGAGCTCTTGGTGGCCATTTCTTCACAAGTAGATCGATCGAAAAGCCTTTCTTTGGAGGCCCCTCCAGGTGGATGCAAACCCCCATCCTTTCCGTTAGCATGTGAGCCACA